ATTTGCCACACGTCACCGCCAAACTCAGCTGAACTTGATGTCTACGATATGAGTAAATAAGGTTCAACTGAACTTTCTTTTGGATTCTGGAAATTATCTGCCGTAAAAATATGAAATTAGTATTAAACATTACAAATATCTTTGATAAATGGAAACTGTGGATGTGAAAGGAAGCGACGTTGGTTTAATTTGACGTACAGTACCATCATTTGCCTGGGGGTACTGAGAAGAACCACGATAACCTCGGTCTCCAGGACGAAATTTGAACCGTGGGTCCCCAGAATATGAAGCGGGAGTTCTTCCCACTCGATCGCAACGTTGTTAGTTTTGGGAGATGAAACATGCGGTTTACAGAGGAGACTTCCCCATTGTGTGTTCATTTTATTCATTGGCACATAGGTCGCCAGTATCATAAGACTGAACGTGATTGAGTGAGAATCAAGGATAGCACTAGTCTCCTAACGAAGCTTTTTGAGAAACACGAACCCTATTAAGCACGGTGGTTGCTGTATCTACTCCCTCTTAGCAGTTAGAAACCCCTCTGTATATTACCCACAAGGTATATTTATATGTGTGCTGTTTCTCGAAACAAACACAAGTTATTTTCATTGCAGAATAAACTGGCTGGTCTTTGTAATGGAGACACTGTCTCTGCGAGGTAGGAAGAGAAAACAAAGTAACTCCGTGGCTTTAGTCCACAAGCGAACTATACCACCAAGCGACCGCCGCTTGTCGGCGAAGTTAGTGCCAACTTTAGCGGATAGAGGGTGTCGCGTGGTCAGCGCAACGAATCCCCACTGCCATTAATTTCGATTTGCTAGACCGGTGAGCTAGGAACAGAAGATTTAAACACTATTCAGATGAATTTATTGCTTCAGAAGGTTAAACCAGTGGTCGCAAAGTATGGCCCACAAGAGATTTCATGCTTCATTATTGCTCTATATCGAGTTTCTTCTCAGGCATCGTCATAGAGGCGGTAGGTATATTGTAAGAATTGAAATCGGGATTTTGAAGGAAATGCAAGTTTTGGGACTTCCATTGTGCAAGTTTGCTATGCCGAAAACTCAGTATGAGAACATGGCATACGCCCACTCCAGACTTCTAAGGCACTTATTTTACAGATTTCGAATAAAAATATGCTATACTAAGGTTGGATTTGTGTCTATCACACCAGGCCTCTTCCCTGCTACACAGCGTTACAGTCCAGAAGGCTGTGCTTTTTATACTACGCTGCTTCATTCACTTAACGCATTTTGATTTCAGTGTGATATTTTGTATTTCGTTGAAAAGGAACCGTTCCTCTTGAAATAATTATTTTTACATGTGGTCTAAAATGTTGACACTTCGGTACAAAAATTATGTCTTTGCTGCTTGGTTTAACGTTAAACGCACTATCAACGTTATTGTCTTCAAAGTCAAAGCCACATTGCGGCTGACGGTCAGTCAGTAAGTCTTTGTGTCGAGCCCCATCTGGGGCTGATGACCAGATATATATTACTGTTTGATAGTTACGGTCTTGTTTTTATGGTGCGCCCTCTCTGACGAGAAGACGGGTCTGTCTTTTGTATATGCTGCTGGCCCTCAGCGCAGTCTTACTCAGGTTCGAGTCTCTTGGTACTCGCGACCATATTTTACTGTCTCAAATTTGAGACTTCCCTCTTCGTCGTCTCCTACGACTCGCAGGGTCACGGTGGAGGTATTCGACCCCGCCACCACACGGACGGGTTATTGTCTTGTGGGAACTGCCCACATTCAAGCAAACGTTACAGTGACAGCTGAGGTATCATTGCTTAGCAACGGCTGTTCACTCAGACGTTGCTGAGCAGCGAATGGTTCTTAGCTTGTGATTGGCTAGCACTCGGTCCACTATGGGTGCTTCCCACAGTCACCTGTTGTAGACCTTACCTAGCAACGAATGTTTACTCGAATGATTCCATGCATCTTGGTAGTTCGTTAGCAACGCTTCAGAGGATCCACCTGCTTCCGTATTCAGGACAGAGGAGAGGAGTCCCTTCAAAAATTGGTGTGTATGTACCAAATTACTCGGCGGCACATTCCAGAAGACAGCAATCTTCTTAGTTGCCGCCATGGGAGTCCCACAACACGACATATCGCCCGCGGAATTTATTTGAGAGCTTCGTTTTGTTATCAGAAGTTGCGGCTGTCGTTTCGGTAAACATGTTTATCGTACTGATCTTTGTACGAATGGTGCTATGTTTAGAATGCTATTTGGATGAGCTTCGCCTTATAATATCCAGTATTCCGTTGTTTTTGTTTTGCCGGGCTGCTTCCTAGAAGGATGTATCCGGAAGGACCTGCGGCCGGTCGCTCTACACGGATTTTCTTAGTTTTGCTCTGTCTGCAGTGAATTACTGAGATTGCTCCTCAATTCTAAGTTACAGCTCTTGTAACTTTAACGCACTGAAATTAAATCGCCTGCTACGAGGACCACCAAATTATCTTACCAAATTAGGCGTTTCACCGTCGATCAGGAAATCAAAATTTCTCTGTTTATATCGCAATCAACATATTCTTACCACCACTCAATTAAAATGACAAATGGGCGAAGCCTAGGAACCTTCTAGTAAAATGATGAACTACTGGCAGCATTAGTTGCCATCCCCCAAAAAAGGCTTCTTGTCATAATGGATCCCTGTGTAAACGAGTCGGGATAGCTCAGTCGGTATAACGATAGGCTTCGGGCTGGAAGGCCTGGGTTCGATTCCCGGCATGGCAAGATTTTTCTGTCTACAACGTCCAGGCCGACACTAGTTCCTACCCAACCCCCTATCCAAATGGGGAGGGGATTTGCCGGGGGAAAAGCGGTCGGGGCGTGAAGCTGATCATCTAGTGCCGAGGTCAAGAATGATGGAGACATACCTCCACACCGCCGCATGTCTTCATGGAATAGTGCTTAATTAATTAAGCAATGGGACCACTTTACCTTTACTTTTACCCCTGTGTGGAAGACAGTTCAAATTGAGCTGTTTTATTTTTTGTATTTTTCATTGAAGCTTCATGCACGTATGTAAATGCGTCGCACTCTGAACCGAACTCCATGGTTGAGTAGGCAGCTTTTTTTTTCTTGGCACTACAGCCCCAGTGGGCCTAGGCCCCACCTCCATGAACTTCTCCGTTCACTTCGGTTTTTCTAGATCTTACACATACGGTAGGACTTCTTGGGCCAGTGATCAGCTCGTCGCAAGGCCTCTACCTGTACACAAACACAGAAAAACGCACACACACACACTAAACATCTATGCACTGAGTGGGATTCGAACCCACGATCCCGGTTTCCAAGCGAGCGAAGACAGTACATGCCTTAGACCGCTCGGCTACCGTGACCGGCGAGTAGGCAGCTTACTTGCTTCGTATTCGGGAGGTTCCGAATTCAGATCTTGGCCCGAGAACTGGAAGTTATAACTAGCTTTTCGTGGTTCCTTCCGGCCTCTCCAGGCATATTCCGAGTTAATGCTTGAAATAGACCATAATCTCTTCCTTCCACATTAATTGCATTCCATTGTTCTTTAATGACATTACATACCCCGAGCTACTTATAGTCCCGTGGGAAGTTAAAGCTGTCTAATTTCCATCTGATATCAATCTTACGAATGCCACACCTCAGTGTATCTTCATTTCATGGCCGTGGATATAACTCTGGGGTAACATTGCCTCGCTTTCAGAGAGTAGCAGACGTATTGTTTTTGGTACCGGAGATGTCGCCTACAGACACTTTACTGCGCCTTTTGAACATTGGTCCGAATTCGGCAAGAGACTTCATTCTAAATTATAGTTATCCAATGGACGTGGATTTTTAATTTTTTTTATTGCTAGTGGGGTGGGACTAAGTCCCTTGTACTGCCGCCACTTCTCGCCTATTGTACCAGCCCCAGATGATAGGTGAGGGTGATTGTGGAGCAATTGGGGGAATGAAGATTGGCAGGGGAAACCGAAGTACTCGGAGAAAGCCTGCCCCAGCGCCACTTTGTCCACCAGAAATCCCACTTGACCAGACCCGGGATCGAACCCTGGCCGCCGCGATGGGAAGCCAGTGACTAACCGCTTGAGCTATGGCGCGGCCCTGGATATGTGGATACTTTGACAAGAGTTTATGCTGTCTCCCACAGCTTGCTTGAGTTAGCACCATTTGACTCTTAGTTGTTTCCAAAGACGAAAGACACACTTTGAGGGTCAACATCAGTCACGAATTACTCTTAAAGTAGTAGTTTACCGATTTGGGGGGGATACCATTAAACAGGAGTCCTTAAAATGTTCTCAAAGTTATGCATGTTCGTGATACACACGTGTAGATGGAGGAAGAGAACGTTGAAATGAGGGAAAGATTTTTCGCTCTCAAATTTTCAATACAACAGGACTTAGGCTAGGAACACACACAGCGACATCGGTCGTACGACGTCCGTACGGTTCATGTCGCATCAAGTCGTAGAATATAAAGTATAGTCTTAGCTTTCATACGTGACGACATGTGACATCTACCGTACGACAGTTGGAGAGCAAAGAAATGTATTTGGCCGTCCTAGTGTGAAAATGAGGTTGTACGGCAAAAAAATCGTACAACATTTTCCCGTACGACCGATGTCGCTGTGTGTTTCTAGCCTAACTCTTGGATTGCACCTCGTAATTTGTATACGAAGCCACACCACTATACCCAGTGTCTTTGGTATATCTTTAAGTGTTATCCTCCAACTTAGTCCTGTGTTTCGCCTTGTGACTTCTTGCTTTGGGGTTTCCCACGGAAATATTCTAATTTCTCATCTTCCTCAAACGTGTTACATATGCTTCACCCGCCCTGCCTTGATAATACTGTTTTGCGAAGAGTATGAACTGTGACACTCTCTCCAGCTTCCTTTACGCCCTCTCTCTCTCTCTCTCTGGCACTGGTCCTCAGATGCTCTCTTGTTCGCCTTGTGCTGTTTTACGCACTAAATTGTACCTGTGTATGGGTGAGTGCACTTGCTCATTATGTATTTTGTCTGCAGCACAATGCCCTCTGACTGTATGGACGACATTGACCTGAAGAACATCCAACTCCAGTTCCCGAACACGAGGACGTTGTCTAAGGATGATTCTAGTATCGTTGAGGAGCGCGTTGAGACGGGAAGAGGAAGCGTTCTAGTAGCGGTACAGGGCAACAGATCGAAGCCAGCCATTCTCACCTACCATGACCTCGGCCTGAACTGTGAGTATAAGCAGTGGTCTCTGACAGAAGAGATATGTACTGTTCCATTTTATGTGAAAGACAAGTGTCGTTTACACTGGTAACTGGACGAAGTCCATTCTTACAAACCTCACCTCTTAGTAGATGGGCCAGTTTGCCTGCAGACAAGATCAAGTATGTTAATTTTAGCATGGTAATATTAACAAGCGTAGAAATATTGGTGTGCCATGATTTATCGGTGACAGAATTTCTGAACTTCTTTGCCAGAACTGTTAAACATACATGATGTCTTTTCCGTCATTTATTACATTCCATGGATATGAACGGTTACCGATATAGTTTATTCTGTATAGTGACTGGCTTTGGGCTAGGCGACCGGCGTTTGATTCCCGCCATGGAAATAAATTTTCTCTTTACCAGCACGTCCAGACCGCCTCTGGGGACTGCCCAGCCGCCTGTCAAATACTGTAATTGCCGGAGCCGCTTTCACAATGAGTGAAGTTGGTCAATGCGTAGAGCTATATCTTCAGTCCCCGTGCGTCTCTACGCTGTGGTGCTTAACTGAGAACCTTTTATAAGTGCGCGATCCTGCACATGTCTGTCTGTTTATATGCCGGTACCCTGCTGACACACCTCTGTGTAATTATGGGAACATATCAGATCTCAGACTGTTCCAGTTAATGCTGAAATAAAATCCATGGAGACGTGTACGAATCCCAATATGTGGGATTGTGCTTGCAGTTCTTTGCGGAATTCGCGACTGATGTTTAGAAATGGATTCCGCTGCAAAGTTCAGCCATGTCGCTCTGTATTGCGCCTCCGTCACTCAACAGCCGATGTCATACTACATATTAGACACTTATGGGCTACACGTGTCGGACTGAACGGTCGTCATTAAGCCTTACTTTAAGGGCCGCGCCGTACCTCAAGCGGTTAGTCTCTGGCTTCCCACCGCGGCGGCCCGGGTTCGATCCCGGGGTCTGGTCAAGTTCGATTTGTGCTGGACAAAGTGGCGCTGGGGCAGGTTTTCTCCGAGTCCTTCTGTTTCCCCTACCAATCTTCATTCCCTCAATTGCTCCACAATCACCCTCACCTATCATCTGGGGCTGGTACAATATGCCAGAAGTGGCCGCAGTACAAAGGACTTAGTCCCACCCCACTAGCAATAAAAAATGCCTTACCTTTCCTTGTCCCACAAATCAGTTTTATCGTACGTACTTCATAGACGTGATACAAGTTTTACAAGTTAATTTGAAATATATTCTTTTTAAATGAAATCCTGGGTCATGTCTATTGTGTCTTATATTTGTAAACCTCTATGATATATGTAACAACACCATGACGCTAAAGCATAATATTTGTCAAATATGTATAATAGATTAAAGACCGCCTCTGTGGTCTAGTGGTCAGAGTTCGTGGCTACAGATCCAGAAGTCCGGGTTCGATTCCCGGTGCTACCAGATTTGCTGAGAAGTAGTGGGTCTGGAACGGGGTCCACCCAGCCTCGTGAGGATAATTCAGAAGACATTTCAAGGAAATAGCGGCTCCGGTCTAGAAAATCGAGATTAACGGCCGTGGGGATCCGTTGCGCCGACCACGTGACACCCTCTATCCGCTAAAAGTTGGCACTAACTTCTCCGACAAGCGGCGTTCACTCGGTCGGTATAGCTCGCTTGCGGACTAAAACCAGTTTGTTTGTTTTAGTTTTTATAATACAGGGTTATTCAAAAAGAATGAACCGATTTTATTACGCAATATTTTACTAAAGGAAAGTAACACAAAACTCCAGCCAAGTCACAAGTATTCTACTCACAATCAACTTTTATTTCCTGTCTTACAAGTGTTCAATGTGGCCACCACCTGCAGCACGGGCAACATCAATGAGATCACGGTGAGGTCTGGGGATCTCCCAGGCCAAGCACAAAGAGCAAGGTCTTTGGCCCCCTTCCGACCAATCCATCGCTGGGGCACTTTTTCATTTAAAAATGCTCGGACCATCAGGTGCCAATTGGGCGGTGCTCCATCTTGTTGAAAAATGAAGTCATGCGAATCTGCTTGCAGTGAAGTGAAGAGCCAGTTTTGGAGCATATCGAGATAGGTTTGTCCTGTTACGGTGTTTCCTTCAAAGAAAAAGGGGCCACAAACCTTGTCCTGAGACACAGCACAGAAGGCGTTTTCCTTAGGGGAATCTCTTTCGTACTCAACTGTTTCATGTGGGTGCTCTGTTCCCCCAAACACGCACATTGTGACGACTGACTGTGCCGCTCAAGTGAAAAGTCGCTTCGTCACTAAAAATTAAACGTGAAATGAAGGTTTCGTCTTCCATCATCTCCAGCATCGAATCGCAAAATTCCATCCGCTTCCTTTTGTCGTCATTGGTAAGTGCCTGAACGAGCTGCAGTCTGTATGGTTTCAAATGTAGACGTACTGTTAGCACACGCCAGACAGTGGACTGAGGGATCGCAAGCTCACGGCTAGCTCGATTTGTTGACTTCCGCGGGCTCCTCTCAAACGCAGCACGGATTCTCGCCACTTGTTCCTCCGAGACTCGTGGTCGTCCTGGACTTTTTCCTTTACACAGACACCCACTCTCTTGAAACTGTCGAAACCGCCGTCGAATGTTCTTAGGACAGGGCGGATTAATCCCGAATCGCCTTCGAAAAGCACGTTGCACCGTGAGAACCGAATTTGTTTTCGCGAACTCGAGAACGCAGAACGCATTTTGCTGTGGACTCGCCATTCCGAGAGTAAACGAACAACTGAACGTTTCCGGAAGAACGACGCGACTTCAGCGCCCCTGTGGCAGCCATTCACAACTTAGATAACTCCTCTTTCAAGTGGTCACTGACTCATTCCATGATGATGCTTGAGAACTGAAGCAATGCGTCATGAAATCGGTTCATTCTTTTTGAATAACCGTGTAGATTCAAGGTTAATAGCTTAAGGTAAGTTGTTTTATCCGTACGGAATTAATTTGTCAGTCTTCAGTTTAACAAATCGATTTCAGAAAAATGGGATGTTTTGAATAGACATTGATTAGACCACAAACGGTTTGTTTTGTATCGCTGCTTCTTCTCTTCAGCAGCAGCAGCACTTGGAAGATGCGAGTACTTACAGCTAAACAAGTTACCTTATCCACTGGTTTCTGCATTTAGCAAAATTTGTAAATTTCTGCACACAGTCAAACTGAACTGCACAGACATGTGTGCGTCAAAATCTGTATAGTATAAAGGTAAAGTTGTCCCTGTGCCTAATTAATAAGGCACTATGCCATGAAGATATTGAGGAGTGGATGTATTAGCTCCACCAATTCAGACCTCTGCACTAGATTGAGCTGTCTGGTCAGCTTCACGGCCCGGCCGCTTTACGTGTTTTCTCTGACGTACGAACTCATTATATATTATTCCGAAGAAATTTAGTCTTTAATGATATACACGTATATGTACATCGCAATTTCGAAGGAACCTGGTGCCTCCATCTTCATGGTGTATTGAGTTAGTGAGTGAATGAGTCCCCACCCAAGTCGACCCAGTAAGAAAGTAACCAGTAGTAGTCAGAATCTTCCTGTCGTTGAACAGGAAGCTTCATTTTAAAACACGTAGAAGTCTTAAAGATAAAATGGTCCCGAAACCAAGAATTACTATGCTGGCGAGGGCCAGCAGCAATTTTAGTATGGTTATCTATCCACTTGACTTTACTGTTTTGTGTTGCATGCATCAGCTTCTTGGGCCACGCATGAGGCTCGCATCTGAAGAATATGCAAGCCACATTTCGTGCCTGCCGTTCCATACGAATATTAAACAGAGCCTACACATACTGTACTAAATATTCCACTATGTTCATATGAAAGTGATTTTTCAATCACTGAAATCATGTTTCTAGATTCATATTTCTAGTGGATTATCCGAAAAATGAATTTGTACCCAGGAATATTGCAACTTGTTCGTTTATTTACGTATTATCCGGAATACTACAAGTCAGCGGTTTAAAATGACGTTTGATTGTCTGAAACTCCGTGCACTGTCTAGAATAGAGATATCTTCTTTCTAGCGAACCATTTTGATTTCAATAGAATATTTATGTAATGACAGCATTGTCATCATGGTCTGTGTTGATGATGATGATAACTAGGTGGAGGAGGACGGTCATGTCAGACGTCGCGGTCCTGTTTCATTGTCGTGAGGCACCGGGTCAGATTTGCGATCAGAATTCGGCTGTCCTTGGGAGCCTCAGTGGTTTTCGAGTCTGTCCAGACATCTGCTGAGAAAATACCAGCAAATCAGAGTCACTTCCTTCTACTTTTTTGCCAATTCATTTTTCGGAATTATTCTCCGTTTAACGCTTTTAATGTTTCTTTTTATTTATTACTTAAATAGCAATCAGAATTACAGTATTCTGTAAGCTATTGTGATAACATTGGGCTAATAAGCCCGCCTATGACAGGATGAGGATCCTTCCACCAAAGCAGCCTCTGTTTTTCACTTGAGGTCAGTTGGAAGACGTCAACGCTTTTAATATATCGTCATTAAATAAACTACCTACCTACCTACCTACCTACCTACCTTACACTCGGCGCTACAGCCCCAGGTGAGCCTTGGCCTCATCTACAACCAGTCTCCACTGCTCTCTATTCCTCATCTTCTCTGCCCATTCTTTCACCTTCATTCTCTTCAGGTCGTTCTCAACATCGTCTAGCCATGTCATCCTCTTCCTTTGGAATACAACCTTCCTTTTAACATTCTCTTTGGCATTGCATTATCTTCTATTCTTTCGATATGCATGCCCCAACCATCTTATTCTCTGTGACTTGGCAAATCTTACTACATTATGTAACACGTATCTTATTACCCTTTAATTTATTTTCAAAGAACGGCCATTTTATTATTATATGGAAAAAATATTCCATAACTCAGTTCTGGAAGTGTTGGCAAGGCAATCGTGATGATAATCACTACCACCCTCGTTTCAGTTGTTAGCTCTCACCAGGGCCCGGATTTTGTTGACCTAAAATATTTTTAAAATGACCGAAAAAATCCAGAAATATGACCGAAAATCTAGAAAATGACATATAAAATGACCGAAAAATACAGGAAAATTATATAAAAGTTAAAAAGACCTAAAAATATATCATGTCATGAAAAATCTACTAATTGTTTTAAAATATATTTTTAATCTTTATTAACACTGTGAACTAGCATTACTCGTTCTTATATTCGTATGTTGAAAATTAAACAATATATGATTGAATTTGAAACTAAATGTTTTAATACGATTTTTTCTACAGCGTTGGTACGCTTATTAAATGTACATATACGGTATACCTATATAACACTTTACTTGCATATTATTCACATTTCTGAAAACATATGAAGAGAAATTCCTAAAATGGCTAAAATGACACAGATACTCTTAAAGTAAAAAAAAATTACCGAAATGTACCCCCAAACCCGAAAAAGATGACCTAAAAACTTAAAAATGACAAAAAAAATACCTATAAAAATTACATTTCTGTAACTAGCAGCTCATCTCTGTGATTTATATATTTACGGGCATCAAATGGGATACAAAGGAAAAAAGATGACATGTCATCAAAATCCGGGCCCCGGTTATCACCGTTATCGCATTCAACATCAGCATGATGCAGAACTTTCGTCTCCTTGCAAAGTAAGCGCAACCGTCACAGCAGATGCATTATATACAGCACCCCAGAAATTACACGTTACAGAGATAAAGCGTTTCCCAAGAGGTTTGTTACGCAAACAGACAAGCGACACATTTATCGAGCTACGTGTTTATTAGTCTTATTTTCTCTTCCACAGATATCTCCAATTTCCAGGCGTTTTTCAACTACATCGACATGCGGGCGTTGCTTGACAACTTCTGTGTCTACCATGTTACTGCACCAGGACAGGAAGAAGGCTCCCCTACACTGCCTGACGAGTGAGTTGTCGCTCCATTATTGAGACTGAACACCACCCCATTTGTACACGATAAAATTATAATCTCCAACTCGCAGGGCGTATACAAAGAAGACTGTATGTTTTATTTGAAAAGCAAGGAAATTTTGCATGAAAATATTATCCCAGAAGACCCAATTGAACGTGTAACCAACAGAAACAGAATTGTAATTTATAATGTATCACTCTTGTGGATAGCAGCGTTTTCCTTTGAAGGCGCTAGTGTTTGTTTTTATCCGTACTTGGGGTCTATAGGGATGAGAAGAACGCAGGGTTACATCAGCTCGTAACAGGCCAGAAGATTGTCTAGCCGCCAGATGAATTCCTTTGTCAGATGAATGTGGTACAAAAGCAAGTGGAATGTACATATGAGTGGATTGTGACATTTCGTGTCACGGAGGGAAATAACAATAACAGATTTTGTAGGCCGACAGATGCTTGTACTTTAACAGTGCTCCTAAATATGTTTTAGTTCAAAGGAGCTCAAGGATAGGGTTCAGAGGACATTTCTTCTGCAGGCCCCCATTCATGGCACTGAAGTACAAACACTTGAGACAGAATTACGACGTCAGGATATACACTGTGTTTGATCACGAAAAGCATTCTAAAAGAACTCACAGTAGAATCTTCAGAAAAGAAACTCAGAGATTAGCAACATTTTGGCACAGGCGGGTCGCATTCGATTCCAACTTTCATGGACGCGCCATAGCTCAAGCGGTTAATCGCTGGCTTCCCACCGCGGTGGCCCGGGTTCAAACCCGGGTCTGGTCAAATGGGATTTATGGTGGACAAAGTGGCGCTGGGGTAGGTTTCCTCCGATTACTTCGATTTACCCTCCCAATCTTCATTCCACCAAATTCTCCATCATCATAATCACCCGGGGCAAGTACAATAGGCCGATCAGTGGCCGCCGTGCCGAGTGGACCCATCTGGACTCCACCCCACACTGCGAATTTAAATTTTTGTTACCACTCCCCCCTCTGTCTCTTCCATCAACCAGGAATATAAACAGAACCGTTCCCACTTCATTCCAGTCTCTTAGAAGGTTCGTGGATTTTAGTTAAGAGGGTCAAAATATGCAGAGCGCTTTCTGCTTTCTTTTTGTTGCTGTTTCTATTTTTCAGATACTAAAGGGTTCTGACGGTAGTATGTAACGCTCCAGATTTCCGATATCTTGGACTTTGTCCATCTCTCTTTATCCTAAAGCATAGTAAAGAACACAAATGTTTCCGAAACTTGATTTGTTTTCGCCCTCATTTGGAGGGGTGGGAGACACCCACTCTGTTGGGTACGTTTGAAAAAGTTAACCTCAATCACTGGACCTAATTCAGCATCACTTTAACCATATTTTTATATATCTCCACATTTTCCTGATTTAAGTACATCACCTGACCATGACTGTATATAGTTGATACGTGTAGTATAGAGTAGGAACTAAAAAGACAAACAGGTGTTTCTTTGTAATGCAAGTTTCTGTTACGGCTAATTGCATGGCTGCAATATCAATGCTGGTATGAAGTGAATTGCTTGCTTGTGTGCACCGCAGTCTCCTGCAACTTGCTGCATTGCGGTTGTAGGGCCTGGCATTAACATCCACCACCTACAGAACCCACACAGTTTTATGTTACACTTACATCGCGTGCAATTCGCCCATGACTTCTTTTTTATTGAAACGTCCTTGTTAGGAAGTAGGAGCCTGAGTGATGAGAAATACGCCAGCGGTCACAATTGCCATTGAAAGTCAAAGCGAGACCTTGAGGGCCCTCCACTGCCTTCATGTAGAAGGTTGAATATTGGTGCACGCAAGGAAATTCCGGTAGTTAGAATCAAAGCTACGCCCTCCTGAGTCGGAATTACTCAGTATAGTGAATCGGTTACGGGCTGGACGACCCTGATTCTGTTCTCCTCAGGGACTGACTTTTTTACTGACCTCAGTCCGTACCAGTTCTGGCGATCACAGCCTCCTACACAGTGCGCACCACTGGAACTTTTCCTGAAGGCAAAACGACCAGAGCTCAAATATGACCGCTTCTTTCCATCCAATGCCGAGATTAAGAATTCGTGGAACTATATCACTACTCCCCCATACGTCTTCATGACGTTGTGCGTCATGAATCACAAGGGCAGTTTTACCCTTATGCACTTGCTCGTAATCATTCCACACTGTTGCCCACTTTGAAGAAATAGGTAGACACATTCATGTTTATCGAGTAGGCTACGCGCTGACACCTGTAATCTTGTAGTGCCGGTTTAGAATTTTGGTGACGTTATTGCCTCGTCTGAGACTTCTCCTAATTCTCGTTCCTCGCCGCACTTGTGCTTGGACAGTCTTTCAAATAGGCTGTTGCGCCCTGTTTTCGTATCCGTACTTATTCACCGTCTGTGTGTAAAGACGTGAAGAGGCTGACTCGATACTGTCTCCAAATTAAAATAAAATGTAGGACAAGTCCCTTCTCTGAGCATTACAAAAGCCGGGTTCAAAACTGAGTGTCCCCTTCGTCCTCTCCTCTCGGGTCACGCCGTTAAACACTGCAAGAGGCAGGTATGAACACATGCAGAAGAGTTCAACGCACAGTATTTACTACCTTAAAGAAAACAGAAATCGAAAAAGGTCGCTAGTTTTAGAGCAGTAATCTAAGGTGCATAACAAGGGCCGCGCCATAGCTCAAGCGACTAGTCGCTGGCTTCCCACCGCGGCGGCCTGGGTTCAATCCCGGGTCTGGCCAAGTAGGATTTGTGGTGGACGAAGTGTCGCTGGGGCAGGTTTTCTCCAAGTACTTCGGTTTCCCCTTCCAATCTTCATTCCACCAATTGCTCCATCATCATAATCGCCTGGGGCAGGCTACAATAGGCGAATCAGTGGCCGCCGTGCCGAGTGGACCCAGATGGACTCCACCCCCCACTGAAAGAATAAAAAAATTATATGGTGCATAACACTCAAGTACTGATTTTTTTTACTCTCTGAAAACCAAAGAACACAACGTTTCGTCCTCAGTTGAGGGGGAGTCATATGTTATGTTGGGTCCCAGTTACTCGACAACCCACGTCAGAAGCACAAACAGAAACTTGCTGCTGGCAACCAGCCAGCACGGTCACTCGTGGAATCGGGCCCCGTGGGGACCCATAACCATATATTTATTCACCTTTAAGACCATTACGATTTTTTATTGAGCCACCTCTTCGATGGGAGGAGGCGTTGATGTTCTAATTGGGTATTCACTTATTTCAGCATCATCTGCCGGTGGGGGGAGGGGGTTACCTTACTTCCACAGCGACCAACCCATGTCACTGTAACTACAGCTATACAAATACCTGAAACCGTGCTTTGTCGAAGGGAGTAACAGGAAAACCCCCTTAAAAAGCTTGGTCTCAGAAGAGAGAGAGAGACTATTTGGGGGGGGGGGAACTAAATCTCCAGTTTTGAAGGTTCCCAGGTAGTGCCCGCTCGTTCTTCCGGTAGAAGTAATGCTTATGATCGGAATTAATTGACATTGGAAGGGTGAAATTTGATATAACATTTGCAGCGATACATTAGAGCTCAATTTTGATATTACCATTAGGAGGGCGTCATGTGAAGCATACAGTGCAACGTGGAATTTGGGTACCAACTCAGCATTTGCTTTAGGACCAAGGAAAACAACGGAAAACCTTGATCGAGTTGGCCTGCCGCAGGACCTTCCGGATGCAAAGTGACTTCTAGCCAGCAGTCCGGCAATAAATACGCGAACCCTAACATTAGTCCCTATCTGGCTGTTACTTTATTTGAAGAAAAGAAAATTACATATTTGTATACAGTTTCTTAGGTGCATACTTTCGTTGAGCACTAAACAGTTGCGTATAATATTAGCGAAGAGAATACATGCATATACTCACATGCATGCATACATACATATATTTATATTTGCGATTATTTGAGTATTTGTGAATTTGAATATCTGTTGTGGTGGAGAGGGAAGGCTCGGATGTTATATGAGGTTTGTTGCTCATCCAGTAACAGAGGACTGTGATGCAGATCATAGTTCATCTCCGCTTCTCCATTCCGCCATGTTGTCCAGCGTAGGGAACTGGTCGAGTGGTCTCAGGTATTTACATAACTATAGTACTGAATCGTACTGACATTCGGTTGTCCAGTGATTGAGGGACCGAACAGAGTAGGTGTCTCCCAGCTCACCTGAGGACGGAAACAGATCCAGTTCCCGAAACACCGTGTTCTCTAGTTTTTAAAATACCGGACGATGGATAAAGTTAAAAAAACCCAGCCATTGTGAAAGCATGATTATCGGCCTCTTTATGTTAGGTCTTTCAAGTGGTAGCTTCCCTTCAAGTTTCCTGACCATAATTGTGTACGTATTTCTTATGTTCCCATTGCGTGCTGCATGTCCCGGCTATGTAACCCACCCTAATTTCTTTTGTTGTAATGAATATATGATCAATCGTAGAAATTATCAAGTTCGTTGTGTGATTTTGGGCACTGTGTATTTGTTCAATCTGCGTTTTTGTTTCCTTATAAGGTTGTATGACTCCCCCCATGCCATTACATTAACTTCCGAGCCAATAACCTTACTTCCAATGCAGGCAAAGGTATAGCTGTCCCTGTGCTTAACTAATTAAACACTACGCCATGAAGACGTGTGGGGGAGTGGATGTATAGATCCACATTTTCTTGACCTCGGCACTAGCCCCGACCACTTTACCCCCGAGGAAAAAGTCCCTGGTAACCATTCGATAGGAGGTTGGGTAGACCCTAGAGCCGATCTGGACGCCGCGGATTCTGTTCTCCGTTGCCGGAAAAAATATATTGGAAACTGGACGAGTTAATTTGAGACGTAGTAAACTGTTTTTTTCTAAGCTGCATTGTTTTGCATCACTTTTAAAGCTAGAATGTCGGCCCTGGCCTTGGCAAGACGAAAGGAATATAATTGCTATAATTAGCCTTGGTGCCCGTTGTCACTGCAGACTGCAACGCCAGAAGGGATCGCACGT